CACATGCTAGCAAAGTTATGCTAGCATGTGAAATGAGTGCAATGGTGTGGTAGTTTGAACATTCTTTGGCATTGCCCTTCTTTGGGATGGGAATGTAAACTGACCTTTTCCAATCCTGTGGCCACTGCTGAGTTTTCCAAATTTGCTGGCATATTGAGTGTAGCACTTTTACTGCATCGTCTTTTAGGATTTTGAATAGCTCAGCTAGAATGCTGTCACCTCCACTAGCTTTGTTGTTGCTCAGACTTCCTAAGGCCCATTTGACTTCACATTCCAGGATATCTGGCTCGAGGTCAGTGACCACCCCATCGTGGTTATCAGGGACGTTAAGCTCTTTGTTGTATAGCTTTTCTGTGTAATCTTGCCACCTCTTCTTAATCTCTTCTGCCTCTGTTAGGTTCCTGCCATTTTGGTCCTTTATCATGCCCATCTTTGCATGAAACGTTCCCTTCATATCTCGAATTTTCTTGAAGAAATCTCTGGTCTCCCTATTCTATTGTTTTCTTCTATTTCTTTGCACTGTTCATTTAAGAAGGCATTCTTATCTCTTCTAGCTATTTTCTGGAATTCTGCATTCAATTGGTAGTCAATCTGATTTCTGTGTTGACTGTTTGGTGATGTCCATGTGTAGAGTCGTCTCTTGGGTTGTTGGAAAAGTTGTTGGGTTGTTTGCTATGATCATCGTAGTCTCTTGACAAAATTCTACCAGCCTGTGCCCTGCTTCATTTTGTACTCCAAAGCCAAACTTGCTTGTTATTCCAGTTATCTCTTGGCTTCCTACTTTAGCATTCCAATCCCCCATGATGATAAGGACATCATTTTTTGGTGTTAATTCTAGAAGGTGTTGTAGGCCTTCACAGAACTGGTCAACGTCAGCCTCTTCAGCACCAGTGGTTGGGGCATAGACTTGGACTATTGTGATGTTGAATGGTTTGCCTTGGATTTGAACAGAGATGATTGTATCCCAGTACTGCTTTTCCTACTCTTTTATTGACTATGAAGGCTACTCCATTTCCTCTGAGGGATTCTTGTCCGCAGTAGTATACCTGATGGTCATCTGAATTAAATTCACCCATTCCTGTCCATTTTAGTTCACTGATTCCTAAGATGTCAATGTTCAGTCTTGTCATCTCTTGTTTGACCACATCCATCTTGCCTTGATTCATGGATCTTACATTTCAGGTTCCTATGGAGTATAGATCTTTGCAGCATCGGACTCTCCTTTCACCACCAGATACATCAGCAACTGAGTGTCCTTTCGGCTTTGACCCAGTCGCTTCATTCTTTCTGGCACTACTAGTACTAGCCCTCTGCTCTTCCCCAGTAGCACATTGGACACCTTCCAACCTGAGGGGCTCATCTTCCAGCATCATAACTTTTTGCCTTTTGGTACTGTCCATGGGGCTTTCATGGCAAAGAACCTGGAGTGGGTTGCCATTTCCTTCTCCAGTGGATCACGTGTTGTCAGAGCTCTCTGCTTTGACCTGTCCATCTTGGGTGGCCCTGCACAGCATAGCTCATAGCTTCATTGAACTACGCAAGCCCCTTCGCCACGACAAGGCAGTGATCCATGAAGGAGCTCCTGACTATGCACAATAATAAAATATTAATTAAGGTAGTGAAAGAACCATATTTGGGGCTGGATTCAGATTAAGTCAGGCTTAGAGTTAATATCTCCATTCTAGATATTCCTTCTTGCAAGCTCTGACGGGACAGCCAGTGACAGTCCCTTGAAAGTGCCCAGGTGGCTGTCATTGGATCACCACTTTTTTTTGTGCCAGTAGTGTTGCCAATATTTTACCTATTTATTTTCCTTTTTTACATTTGGTAGACTGGAGTTGCATAAGTGTACAACTCTGACTACCTGTAATGTTAAGCCTTGTTTGGTCAATGTCCAAGTAAGTTCTTCCTGGGTTTTTTAAAGGGTTAAAAGAAGGCTTTTTTGGTAGGAACATAAACAGCTATGAAATCTGCATATGGCCCTGTTAAAGAAACCTGCTTAGCCCAGTCAAAAATCCTGTTTTAAAAGCTATAACATTTTGATCTTTGTAAATATTCCCAATGAATTACTGAAGATCTAGTAGTATCAGAGCTCCAGGATCTCACTGGTTTTTCTCTCCAACAAAGCAATGCCTTCAAAAAGGTTCTGAATGTAAAAATGCTTTACAAATGCATTATAACAATAGAAATGTATTTTCTTTTCAGGATTATTCATCAACCCTCTTGCTAAATGGCTATGAACAACTAGAAGATCTGAAAGGTCTAAAAGAGAGTCATTTAATTGAACTTAATATCGAAGACCCAGAGGACAGAATACGGTTGCTTTCTGCTATTGAGAACCTCCAGGACTATCAAAGTATGTGCTAAGCTTCAACTAATTATTTCATTGACGTTTTAAGTTAAAAATAAATTGCTAGTGACAATAAATCTGATACACCTCTGTGGGTGTGCTGCAGAATACAACAATCAGTACATTGCATAGTCTAATTCAACCTCATTAAAAAGGACCAAAAATGTAACAACATTTATTTTTTTTCTAATATTTCCTTACTACCCTAAAAGCTCATCAAGGAAGTTCTTCATTTAATAGTGTGTAAATTACAATATGAATAAATTATTGGTGAATTCCACCTGTCACTGGCATCAATGGCAAATCTTTCATTGAATATAATTGTGCCTGGTGACACACTGAACAAATGCCTTCAGGGGAGGAAAGAGCCAAGATTCTGCAAAAGCTAACTGAAGAAGCAGATGAAAAACAATCCATGTCTACATCATCTCCTACATTCTGAGACAAGGAAATAGATAAGTGAAATTATATGGCCACACATCATTCTGACTCATACTGCTCTGGTTCAGGCACTATCAGACAGTACATTTTTAAAAATATTTTCAGTAATAAGCAGAAAAGAGCTTCTTTGGGCTATTGCTGCATGGGCATTTTATTTATTTTACATCCTCTCTTTCCACCAAAAAATGGCACTCAAATGGCTAACAACAATGCTAAAATACAGATTGAAAATAAAATCTTAATTTAAATATAATATAAAACACATTGAAATTCAATTAAAACACAACAATAAAAAAGGAAAGAGCACCCAATTGGCTAAAAGAGTGATCCTGTAGCCCCTCAATGATACTTAGAGGATAATAGGATAATTCAGATTGCCAGATCTGAGATCAGAGCTAGGAATCTGCACTCCAGTCCCCCTGCCTACACCCAACATTTGGCATGGAGAGAACCACACTGGCTGGTTCTCCAAGGTTGGGAGCTTGACTTCAGATAGGAGGTACAGGGGTAATTCCAGGGGCAGGGAGAGGAAGAGACTGGGGTCGCCAGGATACAGACTATCCTGGCAGCACTACAAACTTCTTCCATCCTCCTCTGAAGAACCTCAGCTCAAAAGCCAAAACCTAGCTAAAATGCAGAGCAGGATATGAAGGGAGACAGAGATCATCTCCACTGTTCCTCCTGGTCTGCACTAGATGCTTATGAGCCTCTGACTTTGGGGTCTTATGAACATTGAGGGCAAAACTGATAGTAGACATCCTCTCAGCAACTGACCGGATAACATGTCAAAGGCCTTGCTGAACAAAAATGCCTTTGCCTACCTGTTAAAGAAAAGCAGAGAGGTGAGCAGACTAGCCTTTCTGAGCAGGTTATTTCAGGGCCTGGGAATAGCCACAGAAAAGGCCCTCTTTTAAAAAGACTTTGTATCTCACCACTAAATATGCATTAGATGCTGGTGGGACTCAAAGGAGTTCCACAGTGATCATAAAACTGAGGCAGGGTCCTATGGAAGAAGGCAGGTGGTTGGTCCAAAGCCTTAAAGGAATGTATAGGTCATAACAAGCACTTGCAATTTTGTCCAGAAGCTGCCATAACTGGGGAGTGGCATGCTTTCTGTAACCAACCCTGGCAAATAGTCTGGCTACAACATTCTGAACCAGCTGAAGTTTCTGAAAAGATTTCAAAGGCAGCCCCAAGTACAGAGTGTTACAGCAGTCCAAATATAATGTAACTAAGGCATGAGGGACCACAGCCAAATCACATATTTAGGAAGAGATGTGTTAACATAATAATCTTAGCTAGTTTATACAAATGCACTCTTACCCTCTGCTGAAACTTCAACAGCCAAATTCAGGATCAGGAATACATCCAAACCAAAAGCCTAAGATTTCAGAGAGTGTATTTTACCTCGCACAGGCTGATTCCAATTTGCCCAAGCTGTCCAGAAGCACATCTCTCTTGTCTGGATCAATTTTCAATTTGTTTGAATTTCTATTTCAATTTTCAGTCCAGACCTTTTCTAACATCAGACAGTAATTGAGAACTTGGATGTAGCTTCCTTGGGTTTAGTGGAGAATACAGCAATGAATTTAAGCTGTGTGGTACAGAGAGCCACTGCCAATTAACAGCATTGTTGAAAGAATTGCACTGGCCATTGGTACTGGACCAATTTTAGTGTTAACCTATAAGACACTAAACAATTTGGGAATGGGATGCCTGAAAGAACACCTTCTTCCAAGTATATGTGCTCAGCTTTTGCAATCATCATTAGAGGCCCCCCGGCTGTGTTACCTCCTGTAAGGTCTATCTGGTGACAACCAGTGCAGAAACCAGATCCAAAGTGTGCCATGCTGAATGAGTGGGGCCAGATAAAAATCAGGACAGACCCATGGTTGCCATGGAAGCCATGAAGTCCTGAGATACTCTTAACAAGTTGACCTCTGTGTGTATATTGAAATCTTCCAACAGACAAACTCTAAGAAAACCCCAGAGAGTACCCAGCTAGTTCAAAAAGAGGCTGTTGAGCAGCTGGATAGGTATATCCTGAACAACCAAACAGCCACTTTAAGGTATACATATGCAAAACTGGGTGATGGCAAGATGGGGCAAGAAGGTGATAAAAGCATGATAGATTTTGCCCCCTGAGCCCCTAGGCCTTGCCTCCTGCAACACAGAGAATCTTGAGCTACAAAGCTGGGATAATTTTGCTCCCAATCTGGTCTTCATGACACTGACCCGGCTGGCACACTCATCAAGCATCAAGTGTTGGGTGATGGTTGTTTTTCAGTTAACTGACCTGGTGTTCAGCATCAGTAACTTCACTCCAAGGGGAATATCACCAAGGCTGCTCAGGCTGCATGAAATGGGAGGCAGCTTGGGACGTACTGACACCCTTTCGTGCTCTCTCACCAGTAAAGTAAAGTAAAGTAAAGTAAAGTAAAGTAAAGTAAAGTAAAGTAAAGTAAAGTAAAGTAAAACCATTCTACAGTTGGCCTACTCAGGGAAAATAAAGTTGTTTGGAAGCTGGTTCTGCTGCCTGCCAAGCAGAAGCTGGTGTTCAGCCACTAGGCTGAAAAGTTGAACTAGAGCCCAGTGACTTACCTCACAGGGCTGCAGAAGGATTACAGCTAGACAATGCATGTAAAAGGCTTTATTAGCTTGAAAGCACTATACAAAGGCTACCTGTTTTCATTACTATTACTTGCTTTCAATTAACTGAAACAGGGACATAACATTATGGCTAATGTTTGTGCTGGAAAGAAAATAGGTACTTGTATGACCATTCACATGTTATCATTTGCATGCATTGACAGTCAAGGTATTAATATAGACTGAAAGAAGAAAACATCACACACGCACACACATACACATACACACTGATTATAGTATCCATGGTTTCACAGGAAAGCTAATCCATGTCCATTTAGAAATAACCCCATTGATTTTGATAGTAGTTACTCTCAGGTACAGGATTTCAACCTAAAGGAAGCAGTCAAGTATATATCGGCAAAGCTGAGACATGCTGGGAGTTGTAAGGCCTTTTTTGTCTACGTATGCATAGGTATCCTATCCATTAAGGTGGAGCCCTTCTACATTGACCAGGAAGTTGGACCTGATGGCCTTATTGGTTCCTTCCAACTGTACTATTTTATGATTCTAGGACTGCACACTAAAGAGCATAGTTGAGAGTTGATTTATACACATGAGGCCTTGAGTGTATGCCTACAGATATTTGCAGAGCATTGTCCAGTCATTTCTGTGGGAAGTAACTGGCTGAGTTTCTTATACGTCCCAAGACCATATTACTGATTAATCTCCAAGTGTAGTCAGCTATATTGGGATGTTAATGTGGAATAATTACATCCAAGCTCTGAGACTGAAAAGAATGAGTCTAACTTGTTTCCTGACCTGAGTTTCTATTTCTAAATTTCCTGCAACTGACACCTTATGATTCTCAACTCTTAACAAGTCAGTGGAGTTGTATCCATTCTTCCAGCTATGGAAAGAATCTTACTTAATCATATAATAGCCAGACTGCCATTGAATTGCAGAATGGCTATGGTGCTTGTACTCAGCAGAGGGAAAGAGGGGAAAGTGTAGTATATATGTCAAACATATGCACATGTAATACATTAAGTGTTTGACCTATAGTCTTTAAAAAGCTCCCGAGTAGACATTGTGCATTTAGTGTAATGCACGAGTATAAGGAATATTTAAATAACATATTTGTCATTTGTGTGTCTCAATGGCAAATAGATCTTTTCTGTTTACTGTGGGACAGTAATGTTTTTCTCCAATGTGTATCAGTAATGCAAAAGATAAGAAAACTCAGTCAAAATATGCAGTGGGATATAATAGGTCATTCAGTCAAGTAATTATAAGGAAAGAATAGGAGCCAATGTGATCCTGGGGTTAACGCTCAGCAGAGTAACTAATTCAGCATGACCTTGATGCAACCTCTGTGCTTAAGTCAACCCAAGTGGAAAATTGGGTTGAAAAAGCAGGACATCATTGTTGTAACTAAATATTGCATCTGAAATCAACTTTCCAAGGTCAATATTTTTTTTTCTTAAATAGGCATGTCTCTGCTTACTATAAACGATTTCCTAATTAAAATTGATTATCTGTACTGCTTAGAAGTGAGAAGCATAATTACCCAATTGTACAAGAGAATCTAGTTACTTAAAGAAATTATAGTGAAATACCCAAAATACAAGACTAGGCATTACCTAGATATAGAAATGTTCTTTTGTTGAGACTGCATAAAAAAATCCCAGTGGTTTATTTTGAATTTAAGCTTGTTTTTCTTAAAGAAACTTCTGCGGTACTTCAGCTCTCCTACTGAAGCTTGAGGTGATTCATGTGTGGACCAAATATGGCATCTGAATTTTCTCAGTATCCAGAAGTTTAGACAGTTGACCTTCATTTACATGAGCAATAACAACAATAGTTATTATACTGTCAATATTTAAAAAGACAGATCTTTTTGTTCTTGCATGAAATCCCATAATATTTAAAGAGCTCAAAATCCACTGGGTACTCTTCCATATATTAAATCTAATTGAGCTTCTTTTAATAATATATAATCAACAAGCTAAAGAAACTCAAAGCTCCTTCTCCCAATAGAGTTTGAAGAAGAATTTGCTTTGGACTGTCTTGAAACCCTGAGTTCTAAACAGCCTCACCTTGTCACCAAAACTATTCTCCAAGTCATTTTCATTTGCTCAGGATGCCTGAGCAACAGCTCTGATCCTGACCATGTTATTTCTTTTCATCATACTGAAATTTCTGAGACCAAAGTTACCCCTGCTAGCTCATTCCATTGATTTCATTAGAACTTTATAGCAACTAGCTTCCTGTTAGTAGCAGAATTGGGTTATCTTCTGCTGTGGAGTACCTTCAGTAGGCTATTATATAATCGAGTTTAGATTTGTAATGCTAGGAGCATTACAACACTGCCTCTTCAGAGAGATTTTTTGGAGTTCCCACATACCTAGAGCTAATAATCACACACCATCTGAAAAAAACGCTGAGGTATTCTCATTATTAGGAAAATGCCTACTCTTTCTTAAGAGCTCAATTTCCAGTAAAATAATTGTGTAGTAAAATGAAGTTTCAGTACTAAAATTAGGATCTGGAAAATTAAGATGCCTTCCCTTTCCCCCCACAAGAATAGAGAAGTTAATAATTCCTAAACTAGAGCAACATCCCTGGTTTTCATGATAATTATCTATGTTTTTGGTAATAGAGCCCTTATCTTTTCAAATTACAACCTGTACAGTTCCCATGTGCAACCCCTGAAATATCTCATGAAATAGTAACTAAAGCGATACTACACACACTACAGACTCGTAACACTACAGACTGCCAGAGAAGGATGGCACATCTGAACTAGAATGGAATGAAGTTTGTTCTAGAACTTTTCTCTTTTTGTAAATTTTTAACGGGGCACCACATTTAATCCTACCATCTCCCAACTGTATACCTAGCAGGGCTGTATCATATACCTCTTTGGATTGTGGAGATAGGCTTTAACTTGACCTGAATTTCCACCAGTGGGACATTTACAGAGCTTCACAAAAGTCAAATGAAGCTGGATACATACATGCAACAAGTCAAAAGAAGTATTTTCAAAACAAAGGTCCTTGAACTGCACATTTCTTTATGAACAGAAAGATATTGTCATATCTTTTATTATACGCTGCTAGACACCTGTACATTTGGGGAAACAAGTTCCAAGGGCAAAAAAGGGCAAAATGCAGATAATGAATATTTATAACACAGCTGTTGTCAAAGAACATGCATCAGCCTTATATTTCTTCAGTAACCGTAGCTTAATCCTACAAACCAAAGTAGTATCAGAATATACATGTCAAAATGATGCATATCGTAGACACTGCAAACCCTATCTTAGACAACTGTGACTGAAAGCTATTTATCTTTTATGAAACTGCTATTCTTTAGTAGTTGATAAGATAGTGTGTTCCGCTGATCCTGCAACATTTAATAGTAGCCTTTAAAAATCTATTTCTGTAGCGGTGCCTTTGACTAATATTTTACAGATTAGAACCAACATCTGCTTTTAGTGGTAAAATGCTTCAAATCAAAACTTGCATTTGACGTCAGAAAGCAAACCTGCTGCTTTTGAAATTAGTCTCATGTGTTTGATGTGTTGAGGTCCCTGCATTATTGGAGTCCCAGCAGTGGCCTGAGGCATACCTGGTGCACTCTCTGCCAACAGCACATGCTCTTTGGCCAACAGCACATGCCCTTTGTTACCTGCACCTTGGTAGGTTATTTATATCCCACTTGGAGCAAACCACTTATTTCTACCTCTGCTTAATAAGCTTGGGGTGGGGGGGCATAGGAGCTACAGTAATGGCATTTCCTTTAGTTTGATAGAGAGTGGTTTCTTCCAAATGGGCCTGATGATGACTTTAGCTGCACAGCTTCATCCAAAGCAAAACTTTTGGAGCAGGGCTCTTTAGGTCACATACAGACATCCAGTCTACCAAATAGCAAAGGTGCAGAGTCTTGATCATAGTTTTTTCTTGTCCCTTAGCCTCTTCCTCACATTAGAAAGAATGGCGGGGGATAAAACATATCATAAAGGCATTACTATAAAAAAGCAAGCCAAGAATGTGGTAGAAAGCCTTGTCAATTGATAAGGTAGCAGTCCATATTGGGCCTTTGTATGGTACCAATCTCAGAATTCCACTAAAGCCACTACAAATATGGCTTTAAAGATGTTTTTTTCCTTCGCAAAGATAAAATGCAAAACAATAACTGAATGTGATAATACACTGTTATATGATATTGTAACGTAATCAAAGATGACTTCTGATCAGATTATTAGTATAGTACAACTGATAGTTGCACATATTCATCTTGAAAAGCAAATATGAAAGACACGAACTGAAATCAGATAGTATTTCTGAAATAAACCAACCCTCGGTTCCCCCCTCCTATCAGTAGATGCTGGGTGCTGTTGCCAATGCTCTGAGAGGAGGACCTGTGAATACAACCCTGACACCTGGGCCAAAGTTTTCAGCTTTGGGGAAAATGCAGGCAATGCATTTTGAAATTGCAGTTTTCCTTGTTGTATTAGGATTCTATGGCACAATGTAGTAATTAAATGCTTTTATAATTTACATTATCTTTTCTCTATCATTTCTGTTCTCATTTCACCTTCACAAGAGAAAAGCAAAACATGCAACAGTAAATTTGTACCAGTTGCACAAAATACCTGTATGTCTCTGTAACCAACTGAAAATGCAGTTGTTTAAAGTCCTAAATGGTTTGGGACCAAGTGATTTAAAGGATTATAGCTTTGAAGCCATCGCCAAGATTCCTTCCTCTAAGATCAATTCAGCTGGCAAGGCACAGGAGATATTCCTTACTCAGTGGTGGAATTCCCTTCTGAATGAATTGTGCTTGGCTTTTTCAGTGGCCTTAAAATTATCTCTTCTAGGCCACCTTTCTCTGAGATTGTTCTTGCACAGTTGGCTTTATGTGGTTCTAAGCTGTTTATTTCATTTATTGGAAACCTTATAGTTTCATTTAACTTTACAATGCTAAAGGATCCAATTATCTTATCATTATTACGCATTTATATCCCACTTTTCTTCTTCTAGCAAGGAATGCAAGGCAGCTTACAAGGTTCTCCTCTCCATTTTATCCTCACAACAACAACCCTGTGAAGTAGATTAGGTTGAGAGGGTGGGACTGACTCAAAGTGGCCAGTGGGTTTCGTCTATGTATCTTTCATGTATGCCACTTTGTGAGCAGATGGCCCTGAAAGGCAGCCTATTAATAAATATAAACAACTCACCTTATGTGAGATAAGTTAGGCTGAGAAATGACAACCTAAATGGCTGAAATGTGCTTTCAGTCCAGAGCTCTCCAGTTCTGACTGGTACCCAACAGTGTCTCTTTATGATACAAATGATTTGTAATGTACCCCTTTCGCTAAAAGCAACCACATAACTAGCAATCCCTTACTCAAAGGCAGTTCGTAACATATTGTTTCAATTTTGCAGATGAACCAGACCAGGAAACAGAGCAAGTGTTGCAGACCTTAAGCCCTGACCTGGGCTTTAACAAGTCACAGCTAAATGACTGTCCAAGAGACTCTGGCTGTTATGTCTCAGCAGAAAATTCAGATAACAGCAAAGAAGAGCCAGATACAGAAAACCTGTCTGGCATGATACAGATGATCGCTATAACTGAATCAAACTGAATTTGTTTGCATTATAAGCAGGAAGGTTAACACTGAAGTTCCAGCTTCAACAAAAGCACTGAACTTACCTAGTAGCATGAGCATGCAATAATGGACCATAACGTATGTTATCAATCACTCTTGAGATTGAATAAGCCATCTGATTTTTTTTTAAGTTTACAAGAAAATATAGGCACCTCTTGAATAATTTGTGTTATTTGTAATTTTCCTAAAGACAAGGTAATTTCATTTTTATACATTATCTGTATAGTAAATTACTTTCCTATCAGAACGATTGTTCACCAAAAATTCTAACTACTGTAAATAGTGTACATAATTTTAATTTTGCAAATTAAAGGCTAGATATCCTGTCCTTTTCATCTAAGGAAACCTTAAAGTATTCCTTTTTCTGACAAAAATACTACTGCAATTAAAATGTAGCCAGCCAAATATTCTAGTATGAATTTTTCTGGGCCTAATTTAATTAATGGAATGCACAGAGCTAGCTCTAATATTCCTTAAAAGATTTATGCTATCAGAAAGTAAAGGAATATTCATATATATCAACTACTTACAATCACAGTGGGTTTTGTATTCTGAATTCTTTATGCAAGTTGTTCATTTTTATACAGGGTTTCTTTATTCCTCTTATTGTTTTCTTTGCAAAGAATGTGGAAGGAGAGTTACTAGCAAGAAATTATTTTCTTTGTTGATTTTTTTGCAAAACATTAACAGGTGTGATATGAAGATAGATGTCCAAAAATATCTATTTATTACAGAACAATGAACTAAAGGTTTATACAAAAGGAGTTTAAACATTGTTTATCCTTCAGTAAACTGTAACATCAGTACATATATCACAAGAGCATTTTTCCATTTTATTCTTTAAAATATTCCCATGGAAAATAAACCAGTATCACTGAGTACATGTTATTCTTAATGCGAGAGTTTGTATGGTAGCACTAAATTATATTAAATATTTTGCAGAATCTATTTATTGTGTAAAATAGCAACCCATATCTTTTCACTAACTTAATACTTGCAATATATATCCTGAGTTTTCAAAAAGGAAATAATTTCATTGCACTTTAGAAGCTGCCAAGCAAAATATTTTAGCAAAGTAGGATGAACTATGTAAGGAGCCCAGACTTTTTAACTGGAAGTCTGTCCAAGACCTCTTCCTGCACCAAACTCCAGTATCCATTCTGGGCTTCAGATACCCCAGTCCTGCCAGTGAAATTGCCAGAATCTGGAGGGTTCTGACATTTCTGTATGCTTTCATGGTGGCCCTGTGTTTTTACCATAATATCGGCAGTCTGGAACTGCATTGCTAAAGTCACGTGCAGGTCCTTTTCATACAGTTGCTGTCTCATACAGATGTCTTTCTTTCTGAGCAAGTGACCATCAAGATGGAAGAAAGGACTGATCTGAATAGACATCAATTCTGGAATAACCTTCCAAATTTTACCGCCGTAGCATAAGGAAAATGTCTGTACATCACTGCAGTAATGTACCAAGTAATTTTAAACTCATAAAGGACACCATGATACAGTTAATATTTGATTGAGGCTCTAACCTCTAGGCTAAAAATTAATCAGAAAATGAAGTTTAAATTTAAAAAAAAGTGTGACACAGGATGGGACAAGCTATTCACAATATTTACTAGAACAAATCAGACAGATCAGGACTGTAATTCATTGGTAGAACTTATCCTTTACATGTGGAAGGTCTCAGGTTTAATCCCAAGTAGCATCTCCAATTATGAATCAGAAGGACTGCTATCCAAAACCCTGGACAGATACTGCCAGAGCCAAACTACATGCTTCTCTAATGGCATCGAATGTAGCTCAGGCTTATCTTTTTATTATTTATACCTGCTGGTAGAGTAGGATTTCCACCCACTCACCCCAGGGGGAAAATCATATCAAAGAAGAGTTTGTTACCTTTGTTGCCCTGCTCCCAGTCCATAGAGTAAATTAAAAATAACCCTGGGCTATATGCAGCTTGGCTTTCAGTGTACATAGACGACAACCAGCTAGATGGGCAAATCAGCACAAGGCACCTTCCTCGATGATCTGTGATATCTTGGTACCCTTTGATATAATCAAATCCCCATATCCCTACATAGTGAGGGTCAGATGTGCTGCCCCCACAGCAGCTTCAGTGTTGCTATGGACCTCCTGAACACCTGAAACCCAAACCCATTTTAATCCGCTGTGGATTTCTCCCATATATTTGGTTGGTTACATGTGTATAAGTGTCATGCTATGCATTTGAGTGTGGATGCAGGACTAGTACTTACAGTTAAGAAAAATGTGCTTCCTTGTGAAATTTTGCCAAAGGAGATTATAACACCATAAAACACCTTTCAGTTTACCATTAAGAAATAATGCAGAGCCTTTATTTGAGCTCATCTGAACTTTCCTTTGCTCTAAGTTATATCTCATATTAGAATTTCAAGAAACAAAGAAATCCCTACTACAATTTTCTTTTAAAATAGTGCAATGTTTTGTCCTAATGATAATATATACTTCAATGCACAGTAAATACTCTTGATGTTAATGGATTTGAATTGTTGTGAGCTTTCCAGAGAGGTTTGACTGCTGAGTTGTATAAAAATGTAATGAATGAATGAATGAATACATGTTTAAACTAATTTAATTATAATGTGTGCTTTTTAATGCCCCTTTGCTCATTCCCTGAGTGCCATTTGAAAAGCAGGGTACAAATAAATCAATAAATAAATTGTATCTGAGAACAATAGAAACTGGCATGTCATTTCTCATGATATAAGTTTTCCTGTGTAAACATGGTTGCATTTCTAGTGCGCCAGGAAGCCATGCAAGAGTAAGCAACCCTTGTTATGTGTGTGTGTGGCTGTTCAGAGTCTCAAGATGTCCCTAAGAATTATGGAAAGCCACATTTTCCAGTTCACTAGTATACTCACATTTATGGTTTTCATAATGTGAGAAGCCGCCAACATTCCAATGTGGCTATTAGTGATGCAATTGTTTTTAGAAAGCAACCATGTAATTAATTAGGCTTTTCTATTATCCAGTCAAAGGTTATTCAACTGTCTGCCGAAGAAGATGGCACATACCTAAAAGCTATAAAGAGCATCTTTGCTGTTAGCATTTCTTGGTAGTGTGAAAGCGAGAAATTTTCTCCCAAAATTTTGCTCATTCATGGAATCTTACCACTTCATGTCTTGAGACTGGAGTCAGCCTAGGCACCTGATGGGCACAGCAAACTGAATGAAAATAAGCAAACTCTTGAACTAGATTGAAGTAACCTGAACAAATCCTGAACTGGACTGTTTGTTCCAGAGGGTTCCTCTGATAAGCATAGATGTAAAGTACAAATGCTCTGCCTCGTAAAAGATCCCAGGCTCCATCAGGATCAAGTGAATTGGAAGATTCTCACTATAAATTCTCACTGAACAAGCTCACATGAAACTGTAAGCCCCAGGCTTACAAGCCACCACTGGGTTAAAGTTAACCTGCCCCCCCACCGACCCCCATCCAACAAATGATCAGGCACAACGGGAGCCCTGAGGCGCCTCTTCCCACCTCAGTCCTCCCACTGGTATCCTAGAGGATACCTCCATTCTCTGAGGGGAGTGGAGAGGGGACCAGGGATGGCAGCTGCCCAAAAGTACCCAAGCAGCACCTACAGGCAGCTGTTAGAGGTTCTCTGCTCCTGATCCTGGTCAAAAGGGGCTGCCCAACAATCCCTCTCTGATGGAACTGGAACGAATAGGGATAATCTCTGTTCTGCTCAGCCTCAGGAGAGGAGAGGAGAGCCTTCTTCTTTTTTTTTAAGTTTTATTAAAATTTTAAACTACTACTAAAAACATCAGACATCGCATACATTGGATTTACTGAGTCAACCCCCTACTACATATTTTTAACATTCTTTAGTCAAATTTAAATCAGTTTATAACTTGAAAAACATCTCTAAATTTACACCAAGTCCCGTTTCTCCAGCCAATTATAGAAAAAAATCCCAAGTTTGATAGAAGTCAGTGTCTTCTTTCTCCTTCAATGATAAAGTCAGTCTATCCATTTCTGCGTAGTCCAAAATCTTTCTTAAAATCAATCCATTGGTGGGTAGCTCCTCACTTTTCCAATATTGAACAAATGCAATCCTCGCCGCTGTGATTAAGTGTAAGATCAAATACATTTCCTGCCTGTTAATGTCTTCTGGTATGATGCCTAACAAAAAAACTTCAGGTTTAAAAGCAAAGCATTTTGTAGTATTTCCTCCATCCATTTATGTATTTTAATCCAATACTTTTTCGCATTTTCACAAGTCCACCACATATGTTAAAAAGTACCCACTTTATGTTTACATTTCCAACATCTATTTGACATATTTGGAAACATCTTAGCTAATCGACTTGGTGACAAATACCATCTATAGAACATTTTATATAAATTTTCTTTATACAAAGTTGCTAATGTTACCTTAATATTTCTTTCCTACAGTTTTTGCCACTTTTCTAGTTCAACATTATATCGAGAGCCTTCTCATTTTACTTTGCTAGTCAAAATTGCTATAGGGACAGTGCTCATCTCCATTTCAATGGCAGCCCTGTAGCTCAGTGGTTTAACCCACTGTGCCACCAAGTCCCTCCCTGAGAGGAGGTCAAGCAGAATGCAGTTTGTCCCCTGCCCTCCCTGCCATGATGGTTCCTCACAAAGAGTGAGAGCACTGTGTGGCTTGTGTCCCCACCTGCCACTCTCTGCCACCTGCTGGAACCGTCCTTTCCTACCTGGGAGAGCAGCCATTGAGCAGGTACAGGTACAGATAAGCAGGTACAGAGTGCTCAACCTGGTGGGGGGACACAGTGCAACTTCCCCCCCATCATTCACCAGAGGCTGCTCAGTGGTGGCATGGCAACCAGTGAAGGTAAATTCTGCTAGGTTTCCTCTAGTTGAGACTTAGGAAAATTTAACTATCCTACCCACTGCTATAAGGATGCTGTGATTATAGCAGCAGGTGAAGGTATTTTCTGCTGTACCTCCCCTGGGGAAACCCAACAGACCATGCCTCAGCTGAGCACCGCTTCCTCAAATCCCTAGCAGGGCTTGGGGAGGTGACAACAATGGATGTTAGTACACAGGAACAGGAAAACCAATGACACCTACCAAAGAGCTTTGGGTACTTCGGGCAGGTGTCACCACAGCAACTTAACAAGGCTCTCTACTGCTCTTGACAGGTGACTCTGAAGGCTTGGGGCTTCACCCCGGCTTGCTGTGTTGTCCAGCTGTGGATAATGTGGCAAGCACAGGGATGCTACAAACCCTTATAACAAGCCATGGCTTGCTGGGGCTGCTTCATAGCCACAAAGAGACCACCCCATGGGGCACTGGGTTCAGACAACATGTTAAGCCACCATGTCTTTGAAACCATGGTGACTTAATGCATCATACAAAATAGTCACTTCTTGAGACCCTGGAAAGTTGCTGTAAGGGAATGTAGGCAATAAATCTGCCAAAGGTAAATGGCAGCTTCCTATGTTTTTTACTATTAGCATGATGGGAAGCTGTCCTTGCTCCTGCAGGGATGTGAGTGGAGCCAGCTGCAGCTGGGGGTCATGTGATCCAATAGCTAAGAAACTGTGCACTAATTAGGAAATACCCAGTTTGAATTTTGTCTCTGAACGTACTTGATGGTTTTAGTCAAGTCACTTTATCTCAGTCTTAATCTCTCTATCTGTGCATGGGGACCATCCCAGATTTACCTATAGATTCTGGTAAGGTGTTCAGTGAGATAATGTAGGTGCAGTACTTTAAATAGTTTAATGTGTTGTATAAATGTCACATATTATTTTGTTAATAGTGACCTATAAGTAAGAAAAAACTTTTATGATTGTGGAACTGATAGACTTTAGGTATTATGGGCCCAGAAGGCCCAGCCATTTTCAAGAATTATATTTCATCTAAAATTGGACTGAAAGGATTAGCTCTACATTGTTCAGTAACTTATAATTTCAAATGAAAGCCCAGGTAGTACTCATCTAATTAAAACCTACTCAACTGAAAATCCTATTTATCAGAAACAAATGTTTGTCCTATCTATACCACCAACAAACTATTCACATGAGCAACTAGCAATAAACAAGAGAAAGCTGCACAATGAATGTCAATTAATGTAATTTGCTTTTCAAATAAACTCGCTCTCTATGTGCACAGTGTAAGTACTGTCCTGTGTATCCATTATATAAAGGTCAATTAACCTCAATTCCAGTTAACGTGCTTGACTAAAATAAACCCAGCACAGATGCTATTCTTTCATTCTCTGCCACTTGGTATACAAACAAATGCAGAAAAAGAAAACAACCTTCTCCCGAAACACTTCATATCTGGGGTTATACACCATTTTGAAACACTGAACCTGTTTGGCATCTCCTGACTGTGTTTTTCTGTGGCTTTAAACTATTTCATTATTCAGCACATTATACTGTGATATTAGAAATATATCACTGTGTGGGCATGAAACAGACAAGAGTTGCATTCTACAAAGGCTTCAAATATATACATTAATCCAAGGCTACATCAACACCTCCCTTGAAATGGAAATCTTTGCTAAAGATAGCCTGGATACTTTCAAGATCGTAAAGGGGTTTTATCTTTGGCCTCAGAATGTCAGCATTTATAGCAAAAGTCAATCAAGTGCTTACTTCCTTTGCTTAATCAGTAAGAATGGTTGCCATGTAATAGGCAGCTTTGGAAGCCCTTGTGTAGGATTATGCAAGCAGCACTAATTGAAAGGCACATCAGTGGTTCAGAAATAATTGAAGCCAAAACAATTGGTTGAAGTCAGGAGTATTGCTTTGGGAAAGTACAGATCTACACAAATATCATAAATACAGGAATGTTAAAAGACCATTTGGCTCAGAGTGCTACATCATCATTATCTTCTGTGCTTTCTTATCAGCCTAAACCTTCTTCCCCTACAGTGAAACATGTTTTTCCCCTTATTTTTCCAAGAACATATTCTTTTATTTTTTCAAAAACATAAGGCCATCTTATGTAAACTTCTTTCAGCTTTTAACCTGTCCCCCAGTCAAAGAACTGGCAACCTTCCACCCCACTTCTAAGTTTGCCAAAACCTTACCTGAAATAGCATTAAGGATGCCTAGAACTATACACAGAATTCCAAGTGTAATGAACTATTGAGTTGTGTAAAGGCATTACAATAATGGCAGTTTCATTCTTGATCCCTTTTCTAATGACCCCTAACATGGAATTTGCCTTATTTTCATGGCAGCCACACATTTGGTTTATATTTTCACTGAGTTATCCACATGGCCTCAGAATTTCTTTCATGGTTGGGTCACCATCGGCTCAAACCTGATCAGTGAATATGTGATGCGATGAATACCCTTTTTACCCCTGTGTGAAACATTTCACATTTACTTTCTTTTAACCATATTTGTCATCGTATTGCCCATTCAGCCAACCTAGAGAAATGATTCTTGAATTCTTTCCAAACCCTTTTTATTGTTACCACCTGATATTACCAGGAACCATAACCTGCAACTTGATCACCCTTAATTCCAGGTCACTTAAGGTAGAAAACATTGTTCCAAAACAGATTCACGAGGGACTCCATGTCTTACATCCTTTCATCGCAAGAACTGTCCATTTGTTCCTATATTCTACTTCTGATCCGTAAGGGAGGGGCTGTTCTGTGATATCATAGAATTATAGAATCATAGAATAGTAGAGTTAGAAGGGGCCAGAAGATCAA